CCCCCTGAGCTGGAAGGGGGCAGGGTGAGTGGCTCCCTCCTCTCCCCACCAGCCATGGGCGGGTATAGCCTCACGTCTGGGCCCCCATTCCAGAGGCGGGCACCAAGGAGGAGCCCGTGACAGCCGATGTCATCAACCCTATGGCCTTGCGACAGCGAGAGGAGCTGCGGGAGAAGCTGGCGGCTGCCAAGGAAAAGCGCCTGCTGAACCAAAAGCTGGGGTGAGGGGTCCTGGCCAGAGCAGGCAAGGGAAGGGCTAGGGAGGCCACCATCCTTGGCTGCCTCTTGGGTCGGGAGCAGGAGCTGGGCTCCTCAAGCATTGCTTTCTCCCCTCTTCAGGAAGATAAAGACCCTAGGAGAGGATGACCCCTGGCTGGACGACACTGCAGCCTGGATCGAGAGGAGCCGGCAGCTGCAGAAGGAGAAGGACCTGGCAGAGAAGAGGGTGAGCACTGGACAGCATGGGGTGGTTGCCCAGTGCCTCTGGTGGCCTGACTGGGCACTGAGGCAGGAGCCGACCCCGGAGAGGTGAGATGGGGCTTGGAGAGGGGAAAGGCCACAGCTGCTAGCGTCCACTTTGGATTCTCAGCAGCTTGCCTGCAAGGCCTGCCCTTTTTACACTCACGCTTGGTAGAGCCCTGAGTGTTTTCCGGTGATGCTGAGTGGCCTGAGGTCCTAGGTCACCCCTCCTTGTTTCATAGGCCAAGCTACTGGAGGAGATGGACCAAGAGTTTGGTGTCAGCACTCTGGTGGAGGAGGAGTTTGGGCAGAGGCGGCAGGTGAGGCTGCAACAACTGGGGCACGTGGTGCACAGGGGCACTGGCAGCCTTGCTACTGCTATCCCAGGGTTGGGCGAGTGGAGGGAGGTTCCTGACTTGCCGTTTCTTCCCTTAGGACCTGTACAGTGCCCGGGACTTGCAGGGCCTCACCGTGGAGCATGCCATTGATTCCTTCAGAGAAGGGGAGACCATGATCCTCACCCTCAAGGACAAAGGTGACATGAGCTGGGTGCCTGGTGGGGGGGCACAGCCTCTGCTGAGTTGCCGGCAAGTGTGAATGGCCACTGCTCTGTGCTGCCCTTAGGCGTGCTACAGGAGGAGGAAGATGTGCTGGTGAACGTGAACCTGGTGGATAAGGAGCGGGCAGAGAAAAATGTGGAGCTGCGGAAGAAGAAGCCCGACTACCTGCCCTATGTGGAGGATGAGAGTGTGGATGACCTGGCACAGGCACGTGGCGGGCAGGCTGGGTGGGCGGCGGGGGATGGGGCGGTGAATGTCGAGATTCAGGGCTCTGAGGAGGTGGTGGCTAGGTGGGTTTTCAGGAGCCAGCCTGGGTTCCAACCTGTGCCTCTTGCCCTGCAGCAAAAACCTCACTCTATCCTGGCTAAGTACGACGAAGAGCTTGAGGGTGAGCGGCCGCACTCCTTCCGCCTAGAGCAGGGCGGCACAGCTGATGGACTGCGGGAGCGGGAGCTGGAGGAGATCCGGGCCAAGCTGCGGCTGCAGGCTCAGTCCCTGAGCACGATGGGGCCCCGGCTGGCCTCCGAGTACCTCACGCCTGAGGAGATGGTGAGCCTTCTCGTGCCTCGTACTCGATATCACAATTCTCCCTCCCTCTCGGCTCCCTCCCTCCCTGCAGGCACTCAGAAGAGAGGCCGAGTGTTCATGTTTGCAAAGTGCTTGGCCTTGTGGGCAAGCAGTAAATGGCATCTGGGGGAGTACCGGGTGTGGATGGATCAGGGCTGCTGAGCCACATGGGCCTCAGTCTGTATTCGGGCTCTGCCATGCTGCCAGCCCATGCCCTGGGTGAACCATTTAACTGTGAGCTTGGGGCACCCCATCTGGAGTGGCAGTGACAAGAGCCGCCTCCTGAGGTTGCTGTGAGGATGAGTGACAGCATGGGTGAGGGGTGACTGGACAGGTGTGTGTGGCTCTTGCCCGTGGAGTGACTGTAACATGAGGTAGACAGCCAGTGCAGTAGGCGTCTTGCTAAGTGTTCCCTCACTTAGGAGTGGGCAACCTTGGCAAGGTACTTAACCTCTCTGTGCCCAGTTTCCCCATCTCATGAGTGGATTGGAGATAGTAACCACCCCACGTGTTACTCATGTGTGGGAAGCGCTCAGGAGACTGGCTAGCACAGAGGAACACCTAAGAGGTTCACCCTTGAGGGCTGTGGTGGGCCGCCTCTCCGCCACCCCGCTCTATGTCTCTCCTCTCTTCCTCTCAGGTGACCTTTAAAAAGACCAAGCGGAGGGTGAAGAAAATCCGAAAGAAGGAGAAGGAGGTAGTAGTGCGGGCGGATGACTTGCTGCCTCTCGGGGACCAGACTCAGGATGGGGACTTTGGTTCCAGGTGGGCTTGGACATGGTGGCAGGAGGAGAGGGCTGGGCTGGGGTGGCCTGGGGGCTGGTGCTCACCAGAGAGGCCTTCTTCCCTCAGACTGCGGGGCCGGGGTCGCCGTCGAGTGTCCGAGGTGGAGGAGGAGAAGGAGTCCATGCCTCAGCCCCCGCCATCAGACGACACCCGAGTGGAGAACATGGACATCAGTGATGAGGGTGAGGGCCCGGCAGGGGGTGGAAGGGGGCAGGGACAGGGTTGGGGAAGATGGTCTGAGCAGGCATCCCGTGTTTCTCCCAGAGGAGAATGGAGCTCCGCCGCCACCGGGGTCCCCACAGGTGCTGGAGGAGGACGAGGCAGAGCTGGAGCTGCAGAAGCAGCTGGAGAAGGGGCGCCGGCTACGACAGCTGCAGCAGCTTCGAGACAGTGGCGAGAAGGTGAGGCTGGGCGCAGGCAGGCCTGGGGCTCCCGGTGCATTGGCCTATCCTCACAAGCACGTGCCCTTTGTCATGGCAAACAGCCACATTCCTGTCTGAAGCCTCTTTTCTGTTTGTTTTTTGGGTGTTTTTTTTTTTTTTATTTTGAGACGGTTTCACTCTGTCACCCAGTCTGAAGTGCAGTGGTACGATCTCTGCTCACTGCAACCTCCATCTCCTGGGTTCAAGCGATTCTCATGCCTCAGTCTCCTGAGTAGCTGAGATTACAGGCGCCCACCACCGAATCTGGCTAATTTTTGTATTTTTAGTAGAGACTGGGTTTCACTAGGCTGGTCTTGAACTCCTGACTTCAGGTGATCTGTCCACCTCAGCCTCCCAAAGTGCTGAGATTACAGGTGTGAGCCACTGCGCCCAACCCTCTTTTCTGTTTAAAGTCATGTTTTGTGCAGGTTTTGAGACGTCTGCAGTGTTTCCACCGCCAGATACCTGCTTAGTGGGGGATCCTTTCCTTTCCTGTGTGTGTTTGTTGAATGCCTACTGTGAGTAGTGCATTATTCTTGAGCTGGGAGGGTCATTGGTGAACAGGACAGCTGCAGGGCCCTGGGTTCATGGAGCTGGCTTTCAGAGTGTGTGGGGGAGAGGGGTGGCAGCAGGTGGACAGGCTGGCGTTTAAGCCATAGACCAACCAGAAGGTATCTCAGAAGAATCAACCTTAAAGTGCCTGAGGACCAGGGAGGCAGAAGCAGAGAGAGGGTGGTGTGAGCTGAGATGGAGAGGCTGGGAGCCAGCGCAGGGGGAGCCTTGAGCCCATGGCCATCACTGCCTCGCCGGCACAGTGTGCCGGGCACTGCTCTCCTGCTCTGTGTTTGTTCCTGTGAGGAAGGTTCTGTCACCTCCATCATTGCCGAGGCCACATTTTTAGCCCTACCCCACACTTTTTACCTAGGAAGAAGCCAAGAAAGGGTATCCAGGAGAGGGAGTAAGGGAGGGAGGCTTCTGATGCGACTGGGAGGTAAAGTGGGGACTGTTCGAGTGGATTCAGGGCTGGGAGGATGAGAGTTGAGAAGGTGAGGGCTGCGCCTGGGACGGAGGGCAGGCTTGGTATTGAAGGGCTGCAGAGGACAGATTTGAGGTTTAAGGGTGTGTGGTCTCTGTCAGGCCCCTTGTGTGCTCTGCTATTGTAGGAAAAACAGCTAAGACAATCTGTGAGTGGGCGTGGCTGGTTTCCAGTGACACTTTATTTCTAGGTAGTGGGACATAGTTTGCCCAGTCTATCTGTAAAAAAGAACGGAGAAGGCCGAGCCAGGTGGCTCACGCCTGTAATCCCACCACTTTGGGGCGCTGAGGCGGGCGGATCACGAGGTCAAGAGATCGAGACCATCCTGGCCAACATGGTGAAACCCCATCTCTACTAAAAATACAAAAATTAGCTGGGCATGGTGGCACACGCCTGTAGTCCCAGCTTCTCGGGAGGATGAGGCAGGAGAATTGCTTGAACCTGGGACGCGGAGGTTGCAGTGGCTGAGTGCCACTGCACTCCAGCCTGGTACCTGACAATGGAGCAAGACTCTGTCTCTCTGTCTCGAAAAGAAAAAAGAACAGAGAAATGGGGCGATAGACTGACAGGGCTGTGTGTTTTATGACTGAAATGAATGTAAGGGTTATTAGCCCTGAAGTTCTTAGCCTGCCTGCACATTAGAAACCTAGGAGGTTGTTTTTGTTGTTGTTTTAAGAAACAAGGTCTTGCTCTGTTGCTCGGGCTGGAGTGCAGCGGTGTGGTCATAGCCCACTACATCCTTGAAATCCCAGGCTCAAGGGATCCTTCTGCCCCAGCCTCCCAAGTAGCTGAGACCACCACCACACCTGGCAAATAAAAAAAAAATTTTAGCAACAGGGTCTCACCTTGTTGCCCAGGCTGGTCTCAAACTCCTGGGCTCAAACAATCCTCTCGCCTCTACCTCCCAAAGTGCTGGGGTTATAGGCATGAGCCACCTGGCCTGGCCTAGCCTAGAAAGCTTTTAAAATATATGAGCCACACCCCACATACCAGCAGAAAAGTGAAAGTGTATTCCAGTGAACACCTGTGTCTTCTAGAGTCAGTAATTATAAACATTGTTAAAGTTCTTTCTCTTCTTTTTGTCCTGAGCCCCTGCAAGTTGCAGGCATGGTGACACTACCCTTAACCACTTCAGCGGGCATCTCACGAAATAAGGGCCTTCTCCTGCATAGCCACGCTGCCCTAACAGGTCCATAAATTCTGTAAAACAGCAGCTCGCATGCCCCATTTTCCAGTTATCCCCCAAAATGTCTTTTTAATTTTTTTTGTTTTAACCAGTATCCAATCAAGTTTCGTAGCCACAAAGGAGTCTTTTTCTGACTAATGGAGATTCTGGAGTATGTGGGAGAGACAAATTAATGATAGAAGAAGAAAAGGAGATTTTTGCAGGCATTGGTGGGGCCTAGAGTACAAGTGGAGGGTGGCCTTGAGCGAAGCCAGGTCGTGTCATTTATTTCAGGAGGGAAGGTAGGGAGGTTACAGCAGCTACAACCAAGGTGATCTTGGTTGGGGGAAGTCAAAGCAGCCCATGTCCGATTGTTCCAGTGAAGAGGTGGCAGGGGTGGCAGTTCGAGGAGACATGAGATGCTGTTTTGGAGAGTGGAGGGCAGGTACACCATGGAAGAGGAACAGACCTGCTGGGCGGTGTGGGCTGCACAGCCATTCCCCGTGGCCTTGGATGTGACAGGTTTTCTGTCCAGCTGCTCCATGCGGTTGGCTGAAGAGGAGGATGATGGGATTAATGAGCTGAGGAGGAGGATGGGATTAATGGGGAGCTGAGGAGAAGGATGGTGGGATTGAGGATGGAGTTTTCTAGGGAGGAGAGGCAAGGCAGTTAAGGTTTTCATAAAGGGGAAGTTCCGTTGATGTCCCCCAACTCTAAACTGGGTGATTGGAGACATAACAGAGTGATGGGTGTGATGACTGGCCTGGAGTCATGATGTGGTTGAAGAATTACTGGATTGTGGTTAATACAGTCAGTGAACTAGAAAGAAAGGATGTAGAGGACAGAGAGGATCCTTGGAATTGAGGGGGGTTTTTTGTTTTAGTTTTGAGACAGTGTCTCACTCTCTTCCAGGCTAGGGTACAGTGGTGCTATCTCGGCTCACTGCAGTCTCCACTTCCCAGGTTCAAGTGACTCCTGCCTTAGCCTCCTGAGTAGCTGGGACTACAGGCGCGTGCCACCACGCCCAGCTAATTTTTCTGCATTTTTAGTAGAGATGGGGTTTCGCCATGTGGGCCAGGCTGGTCTTGAACTCTGACCTCTGGTGGTCTGCCCTACCCTCGTTCTTCCAAAGTGCTGGGATTACAGGTGTGAGCTTCCGTGCTGGCCTAGGTCCCAACCCTGATGACCTCATTTAACCTTGATTACCTGCCTAAAGGTGCTCTGTCCAAATACAGTCATTGGGGGGGTACACAATTCCTAGAGAGGAAAATATTGTAAAGATGTCATCTCATCTACTTCATTTCTAGGTTAAATGCAATTCCAGTAAAAATCCCAATGGGGACATTTTTGGAACCTGGCAAACTGATTCTGAAATTGAATGAAGTAGGGTAACTGGCAATGTGGGATTGTGTAAGGACAGACTAATAGGACAGAGAGACCAGACAGGCCCCGAGACAGAATCGCGTCCCAGTGGAAGAGATGCTCATCAGTGTGGCGAGTGGGCTTGGGACAGTTAACTGTTTGCAGAAACAATGAAATTGGGTTTGTACCTGACAACTTGCAGATAGATTAAGAACTTCAAAGTAAAAACCTAACATTTCAGAACCAAATTAAGGAAATTCCATTTATGATTTTTTGGTAGAAAAGATTTTTTAAGTTGTTAGCATAGCCAAGGCAGAAGAATTGCTTGAGGCCAGGAGTTTGAGACCAGCCTGGGCAACATAGCAAGACTGCCCGCCCCCCCCACCCCATCTTTAAAAATTTTTTTTAAATTAACTGGGCAAGTGGCATGTGTCTGAAGCCACAGCTCTGCTGGAGGCTAAGGCAGGAGGATTGTTCAGCTATTGTTGCACCACTGCTCTCCAGACTGGGCGACAGAGCAAGACTCTGTCCGGAAAAAAAACAAACCACGTAACTATATAGAAATTGAGAACGTGAGTGTTTGTTTGTTTGTTTAAAGACGGGGTTTCACCATGTTGGTCAGACTGGTCTTGAACTGCCAACCTCAGGTGATTCGCCCTCGTTGGCCTCCAAAGTGCTTGGATTACAGGTGTGAGCCACCACACCCGGCCTTGTTTCTTTGTTTTTTACAAAAGATATCATGACGCATATAAAAAGGCAGACCAGAAGGGAAGATATTTGCCCATAAATACAACCAAGAATGGGTTGGTGTCAAGAGTATACAAACAGACAGAGCAAATCAACAACACGGAAAACTAGGTGAAAGATGTAGATAAGAGAGGCGGTTCACGGAAAAGAAAGCCTGACTGACTGGGAAAGTACCCGGCAAGCCCAGCTTCAGGAGGGGTCCCAGAAAGGTGAGCCAAAAGTGAGGCACCTGCCACCCCCAAACAATTCCACAGAAAGGTCCAAGCCTGACAGTAGCGAGTAGGAATAAGGACATGAAGTAGCCAGAATCCTCGGCCACGCTGCTCACTGCCGTGGCCATCAGGGTAATCAGACGAGAGGGAATGTGCGTGTGCCCGGGCCACCCCCACTGCTCACTCCCGAGTGTGGCCCACGTGCACCAGGAGACAGTGTCAGTGGCCTGCAGCCGCAGTACTTGTTCCAACAGAAAAAAAATAATCCATCCTCAGTGGGCTGGAGAGCCAGATCAGGGAGCATCCAGCTATGGGCTGTGAATCCATACTGTAAACTGATGAGCTGCAGCCACTTGCATCAGGGGTACTCTCAGGGGCATAGATTCTTTTACAAAAAAAATCATAGAATCTGAGTCATACAGTGTGGTTCAGGTTATGTAACACTTAGTATACAACATAATTAACTGTTCTGGGGTAGGTCCTTATGTGGTAAAGCCACGAAGATAAGCCAGTGAGTCATGACCATGGATGGAGGGAACACTCAGGACTGGGCAGGGTGTTAGCGATGCTGCTCCAGCCCCGGGCAGAGGGATGTATGTGTGTGTTTAGTTACTGTTTTAAAAAGCTCAGGCCGGGCGCGGGGGCTCACGTCTGTAATCCCAGCACTTTGGGAGGCCGAAGTGGGTGGATCATGAGGTCAAGAGATCGAGACCATCCTGATCAACATGGTGAAACCCTGTCTCTACTAAAAATACAAAAAATTAGCTGGGCATGCTGGCGCGTGCCTGTAATCCCAGCTACTCAGGAGGCTGAGGCAGGAGAATTGCCTGAACCCAGGAGGCAGAGGTTGCAGTGAGCCGAGATCGCGCCATTGCACTCTAGCCTGGGTAACAAGAGCGAAACTCCGTCTCAAAAAAAAAGAAAAAAAGCATATCAGCTGGGTGTGGTGGCTCAGGTCTGTAATCCCAGCACTTTGGCAGGCTGAGGCGGGCGGATCACTTGAAGTCAGGGGTTCGAGACCAGCCTGGGCAACATGGTGAATTCCTGTCTCTACTAAAAACACAAAAACTAGCTGGGCGTTGTGGCGTGCACCTGTAGTCCCAGCTACTCAGGAGGCTGAGGCAGGAGAATCCCTTCAACCCAGGAGGCAGAGGTTGCAGTGAGCCAAGATCACACCATTGTGTTCCAGCATGGGTGACAGTGAGACTATCTCAAAAAATAAATAAATATCTGGGTCAACAGAACAAAATCTCATGTAGAAAAAAAAAGAGAACATAAATAAATAAATTAATAGCATCTGCTGAGTTAGATATACCCCCTTTTCTGTTTACGATGAAGTTCATTAAAAAATAAGTGTTCCAGGATGTCCTGGAATATATATGTATTTTTGAGACAGGGTCTTGCTCTGTTGCCCGGCTGGAGTGCAGTGGCAAGATCACGGCCTACCACAGCCTGACCTCCAGGCTTAAGGGATCCTCCCACTCCAGCCTCCCAAGTAGCTGAGACTGCAGGCATACACCACCATGCCTGGTTGATGTTTATAGTTTTTGTAGAGATGGGGTTTCACCTTACTGTCTAGGCTGGTCTTGAACTTCTGGGCTCAAGTGATCCTCCAGCCTTGGCTTCCTAAAGTGCTAGGATTATAGATGTGAGCCACTGCAGCTGGCCCCTGGAAGAATTTTTTTTTTTGAGACAGGGTTTCACTCTGTTGCCCACACTTTGAGTGCAGTGCTATGATCTTGGCTCACTGCAGTCTTGATCTCCCAGACTCAAGCAGTCCTCCCACCTCAGCCTCCCAAGTAGCTGGGACTATAAGCTAATTTTTATATTTTTTTGTAGAGATGGGATTTGGGCATGTTGCCCAGGCTGGTCTCAAACTCCCGAACTCAGACAATCCACTCGCCTCAGGAGATTTTTTTAAAATGAAAGAGGGTGCAGAAGTGGACATGGCAATCGAGGCTTCACTGAGGAGTTTGCTGTCAGGGCTTCGGGGTTGAGGGAGGAGTTTTTTAAAGAGGAGAGCTAGTGGGCAAGTGTGTGTGTGGCCGGGCATCTACAAAAGGAGGGAAAGCAGAGGGTGCTGGTGCCCATGTGGGGGTCCTGGATTTAGTGCTGGTAGCACGAGTGGGTTCTCTTAGCATGTCATGGCACCTGCTTTCTTGGTGAAGTGGGAAGCAAGAAGCTGGGCTGTGGGAAGTCAAAAGAGTGGGCCACCTCACCGCCCTGTGGGTTCTAGAAGTGCTGCCTACAGAGTCTTGAAACTGGAGTTTGTTGTGGGAGGGGCTGGTGGCAGGAGGGACCCTGGAGGAAGGTGCTTGAGGCTGAGGTAGTGTGCCAGGGGCTTTGGAGCAGGGTTGGCACAGGCCTGGTCAGGAAGGCCCTGTAGGGTGTTGGGTGTTCATTCAAAGGGCAGCCAAACCCATTGATGGGAGCAGAAGAGTGACCCCAGTGAAATAGGTGTAGAGTGGAGTCAGGAGGCAGAGATCAGCCAGGACCCACATGGGCTGTGGGTGTGGCCTGTCTTGCTGCTGCCAGGGAGGACCCTTGGGTTCCTGGGTCTCAATGGCATCACCCCAGAAACTGCTGGGTTTGCCCACAGCTACTCCCTCCCCCAGGTGGTGGAGATTGTGAAGAAGCTGGAGTCTCGCCAGCGGGGCTGGGAGGAGGATGAGGATCCTGAGCGAAAGGGGGCCATTGTGTTCAACGCCACATCTGAGTTCTGCCGCACCTTGGGGGAGATCCCCACCTACGGGCTGGCAGGCAACCGCGAGGAGCAGGAGGAGCTCATGGTGCGTCTGGGGCAGCCCCACCCTGGGCTTCGCTTGGCTGGGTAGGCTGGCTGGGGGCTGGGGGCTGGGCTGACCCTGGTCTTTTGTGCCCCAGGACTTTGAACGGGACGAAGAGCGCTCGGCCAACGGCGGCTCTGAATCTGATGGGGAGGAGAACATTGGCTGGAGTACGGTGAACCTGGACGAGGAGAAGCAGCAGCAGGATGTGAGGGCCGCACTGTCACCACGGGGTGGGGGGCGGGGGCATGGGGGCGGGAGGGTCGAGCTGGAGATGAGTGCCCAGGCACGTTACTCGGTGTCCTCAGCCTCCTCATCACAGTGCGCTCTGCATTCCTCCCAGCGTGATCTGAGTATACCTGAGGAAATGAAGTTAAACGCTGTGGCTGGTGCCCGGCAGGGGGTGACTGATGGGTGGGGGTGAGAAGAGGCGGTGTGGCTTGCT